TACTAATATGATTCATGTCACTAACCTGTATCTACTTTCCAAATTGTTACTATGTACATTTTCAAAATGATTGCTGAAGGTTTATAGGGAGAAGTAACACTTGTGGTAGAAATGTTTAAACTATGGACTGAACTATGATTCAGAACAATTTTACATGTTTTAAAATAGTTGTGATTCACGATTTTTTTTCTTATTCGCATTCTTCCTAGTCAATTTTAAGTTTTAAAACATATTCTAAAAATAAATATGAATAAAATATTTTATGTGCCATGCAATTATGTACCTTTTCAATATTTAAAGACATCTTCATCTTTGTCTTGCTATTGCACTTATTGTCAAATAAAGTATTACATTATAACATGTCAATTTCTTCCAGAGAAAGAATAAGAATGTTGCCCAAAAAGTGTTGCCCAAAAAGATTTGGAAAAACTTAAAACAGAAAATAGCTAAACGTTCAAATCAATGTAATGTTGTGCAAATGTGGCTGAAATATTTGTTTGTACAGTTTTGATGATATCATAGATTAAATCCTTCTGCCAAATTCTAAAGTTCCTCAGGCTGACCAGTTCTGATTACAGAATTGTGTTGTATCTCTTGATAATTGTATTTATACTGCATAGCAACAGGCTATTATAAACAAAGGAGATACTTAACAATGTAATTGATACAGTTCTCTTTTGGGCTAAATAATTGTACTTGGATATCATAGATTGCTCATAATTAGATCAGAAAAAATTGAATGTCATGGCTGTTTTTAACAGAGGCCGCCTTTTGGATGGCCAAATAATCTGCTGAGTGGCTGACATTTATCGAGGCGTAAACAGGGTTATGTGGATATCTGAATTGTGTAGTGATTTAAAAGTGAAATGGCAGAGCTGAAGCACATGGTAATGGGGTACCACATTTGGTTGAGGAATATCTGGTAGCACTGCAGTGGTGATGGCTACAGAGCTGGTTGTGATGCTCACTCAGGTCTAATTTTCAATCTCCACTTGAACAGTGATGGTGATGGTGACCCAGGAGACAGTGCTTAGTGGGAGCAGGAGTGAATTGGCTGGAGGAGGGCTGGCTGCATTTAGCAGCTGTCATGAGACTTGCACCCTACAGTTAGATTCAGAGGAATCGCAGTGTGTGCTGTTGGTGTAAAATGAAATTAGAGATGACCTTGGGAAAGGTCTGAAAGAACAGTTAAGGAGTGATTTACAGCAATATTACACAGAGATTGAAGCAAATTTGAGAAAGAAACTCAAAATAACTCTGCCTTAATTTTATTTGATATAAGAGGGGACAGAGAGAAATGGGCAGGATTTCAGGGCAGTGTTTAATGCATCCTTGAGGGAATGGCGGTTTCTGTGGCTTTTTCAAGCAATGATCTATCCCCTCAAGAAATCATCCCTCAATTCAATAATGCTGGATTATGTTCATACAGCCCCCAACTTTTCTTTTAGGGAAAGCGATTGAGAAGATGGTTGCTTTGCTGATCCAGAAGATTCTGGAGAAAACATTAACTGGACCCTAGTACATGGATGGCATTGGTTATACTTGTAGATTGCATTTGTTGCAACTGGAAGGGAGTGATGCATCCATTCTGATCTTTCTTAATTGCTCAATAGGTTTTAATACCATCAATCATGGTATCATTTTTGATTGGCTTCTGAGTTAGGTGTGAAATATTTCTCTATCCTTTTGTGTTGGTTCCAGTTAGTGTAGAGGGGGAGAGAGGTGTCAAGCCATAGATCCCTCCTTCATGAATCTCCTTAAGAGTCCTACATCCTCTCCTTTTATGTTTAACATCTACACGAAGCCACTAGGTTAGGTCATTACCTTGGGATTAAAAATCATTAATTCACTGTTGATACTTAGAAATGCATCTCTATCCTGGGCCAACCAAGCTGTTAAGACAATTTCTCGGTGTCTGGAGGCTATAGTGGTTTGGATAGAGAGAAAAAACTTTTGGTTTAACCCTGTCAAGACTGAGTGGCTGAGGGATTTGGAGGTTCCTTGATCTGAAGATGTCCATCTTGACTTCTGCATTGGTTGCACTCCCCAGATAGAACTGGTATGCAGTTTGAGAAGTCCTCTTAAACTCTGTGCTGTTTAAAACCAGGTGGCAGTGGCGGCCAAGAGAGTTTGTACAAATCCATAGTGTGTACCAGTTGTGAATATTCTTGGATCAGGAAGACCTGTTCACACCCACTAATTTCTTGTAATATCCTGCTTGGACTATAGGTAGTTCTTGACTTATAACTATTCATTTAGAGACTTTTTAAAGTTACAACGGAGAAAAAATTTAGTTATGACCAGTTTTCACACTTACAATTATTGCAGAATCCTCATGGTCATGTGATCAAAATTCAAGCATTTGGCAACAGGCATATATTTACAACAGTTGCATTGTGCCAGAGTCATGGGATCACCATTTGCAATCTTCCCATTGCCTTCCAACAAGCATACAAGGCCAGGGAGGCTACAGTTATACACATGATAGACGTTTTGGCAGCCGACAGTCGCTAGTCCATTTGTTGCACCCCTGCACTACAAGAAGGCGAAGTAGCTTCATACCAATTGGCCTGCAGATTTCTCAGAGGAACGTGACTTATCCGGGGCTTTTCTCTACCACTCCTCGCTAATCGCATCTGGACAGATCCAGCGCCAAGTTGTAAGAATGCAGCCAGCAGTTTCTCACCATTGAAATGGCGTATCTATCTATCTATCTATCTATCTATCTATCTATCTATCTATCTATCTATCTATCTATCTGCAAATAAGGATTTTGAATTGCTAGGTGGGCAAGAGCTAAGGACAAGTGATGGGAGCTTACCTACCTCAGGGAGCTGGACTCAAACCACCAGAGTTCTGGCAATTGCTCAGCACATCCAGCATCATTAAGCCTCTGTACTGTGTCCCTTTGTACAAGCAAAGTCAATAGGGGAAGCCAGATTCACCTAATGACCACACGATTCATTAACAACTGCAGTGTGGTTGCCACTTAACTGTTGTAAAATAATATCATAAAATGGGCAAAACTCACTTAACAACTGTTTTACTTAGCAGTGGCAATTTTGGTCGCAATTGTGGTTGTAAGTAAGGACTACCTGTATTGCAATGGCCCTATATGAGTTGCCCTCGAAGACTACTTGAAGTTACACTTAGTCCAGATGCAGTATTATGTACCGTTATGAGTATACTACACTATCAACACCATTACTCTGCAAGCTGCACTGGCTCATTATAGGCCTTCGGGTACAATTCGGGGTGCTGATTACCATTGTATAGCTCTTCATTACATTAAGCAGAGTTATTTGCAGGACTACTCATTTCTTATCGTTCCTGCCTGTTTCTCGAGATACAACAGAGTGGTCATATGTCAAGTCTACTCTATGAATCAGGGTCATTGAGTGATGTACAGGAGACCTATCATTTTGATTTCAGCACCTACCCTTTGGAACAGTATGCCTCCTGTGGTTTAGTTTTATTCAATATTGTGGTTTTGTGGTTTTTATGTTCTTCAAAGGGTTTTTCAATGTTTTTAATCTTACGTTAGCTATCAGTCACAATTTATAAGTTGATGATCATGCAAATTGCACAAATGTACATACATCTGTATATATAAATTGTCCATATAGTTTGGGAGGGTTGAAGGCAACATTTCTTCTACTAAAAACTTTCAGTCTTTGATAGAATTCTAATGTGTATGTATCCCTTTGTTTTCTAAGAAAACTTACTTCTGATATATTCTTGTATTGAAAAGAAACATGTGTGGGAGTAAGAAACTTCCCCTTCTAAGGATTTGCATAGTGTATAAATTGTATTTGTTTTTAAAATTTTAAAATAATGAGAAAAATTCATAGGTGCTTAACAGAGTTCTAGCTGCTAAATAAAGATAACTCTTATAGGTTATCTTCTTGGAAATGCAGTGCTTTTAAAATATTATGTGTCTATTTATCTGTTGTATGTCAGTATACATATTGGTGATAATCCACAAAGGTATCCTTTTGTCAGTTTTTCTGCAAGCTATTTTTTTTTTAATTTTTATATATGAAATGTTTCGCCCATTGAAAAAAAAAACTATCGAATTATAAGAACTTGACTCAGAAATGCTAATTGGATTATAAGCATATAATTCTAATTTAGCATATAATTCATATGCTAAATTAGAATTAGCATATGAATTCAGTTTAATTACCATCAGGCATGTCATTTTCAGCATTAGTCTAGTGGGCCTGTGGCATTATCAAACCATATATCATTTCGTTGTTTAGAGAGCAAAAAGAAAAAAGAGGTCACCAAAAGTATTCTGATTTCAATTGATTAAAATATCAAATGGACTTTTGCAGCAAGGACAAAGTACAAGGATGTAATATACAGTAGAGAGAATTCCATTAAACAGGTTCATACCTTTAAATTCTTGGGGGTGGTTTTCAGTCCCAAGGGAATCTGGAGGGCCTACTAGGATCAAAATCTTCAACAGCTATAAAGCAGTTATTATTTATTATTATTAAAGGAACCATCTAGTATTGGAAGACTTATTTTTCCCCCAAACTGAAACCTTGCCCCAAGTATTGTGCAGAATTAAGGTGGGTCTCTATGTTGGGAAGAATTTTTTGAAATAGTGCAGACCAAATTTCTAAGATCCTTACTCGTTAGACCCAGAGTAACAGCTAATGCTTTTCTTTGATTAGAAGCATGAATGCCTAAAATTGAAAGTAAGGCATGGAGGCTGATGTTAAACTAAAAAAGCTTCAGTTTTTTTCTCTCAGGTTTACTTCTAATAATAATGGATGATGATTTTCCATTAGACTGGAATAATATTACTGTGTAGAACAAACTCTAATGGCATGTGGATTATCTAATTGTAGACAGAGATGTTTAAAATCTTTGTTTTAAAGAGTAAATATCTCTCAATCTAATATGTCTCCAAATTATTCTAAATATTTAGTGAACAGTTTCAATAATAATGAAATATTCACATGCAATACCATCCTTTGTTTTCTCTACAGAAAATACCATGGGGTGCATTAAGAGCAAGGAAGATAAAAGTCCTAGCATGAAATATAGAACTGAGAATACTCCGGAGACAATTACCTCCCCTGCCAGCAATTATGGATCTGATTCAACCCAAGCTAATCAGTCACCTGCAGTAAAAGGACCATCAGTTAATTTTAATAGCCATTCCATGACTCCTTTTGGTGGGTCATCTGGTATGACACCTTTCGGAGGAGCATCTTCTTCATTTTCTCCAGTGCCATGTCCATATCCTAGTAGTCTAACAGGTAAGCATAGTCTTAAAATTACCACTAGATCACAAAAAAAAAACCTTCAGTAGTACTGAAACAAGAGTTGTATGTGATTTAGTCTAAAATGTGTTATGTTATTAAAAAAAAACTATTGTAAGTTTGTACAAAAGTCAAGCAGTATTAGAGAAAAGCTTGATTTTGCTGCAAACAGGAATGAGTATCCTGTGCTCCAAGCAATGTGCAAATGATGATTAAAAAATAAATATATAAATTGTACAAAACAACTTTCTGCACCAACAGTAGTACTAATGGTTGACTTCTCTTTAGTACATTTATCAGCTACCCAGGTTTTATGTAAGACTGATGCTGATTAGTTACTTACATGAAACAGATTCTTCAGAATCATCCATGAATTCATACATACAGGTTTTACATTGGTGCAAACTTGAAAAGTCATAGAATTTTTTCAGTAGAACCATGTCCTTTGTGAATATCATGCATGTCTGGGTGTAGATTCCATTAATGATAATCTCCACTAAGATGAAACCAATGATTCCTTTAATCATAAGGAAAAAACAAGGTCACTTGACCATCTAAAGAACCTCAGTTATGAATAATTTTTATGATGTTCTATGTGATTCAAAGTGACGGTTGGCTAGCATCACTTGTTACGTTGTTATCTTGAGCAGGGGATGATATTCATGCAGTGACATAAGAAAGGATCACTCTACTACACGGGTGTCAAACTCACCACGTCATGTGACATGTTGCGACATATCGCAACTCTTTTTACATTGCCGGCAATGGGGTGGGTACAGCTTCAGTATGATGAAACCGGCCCATGGGCCGGCAGTTTGACACCCCTGCTCTACTAAATGTTGCAGCTTTCCGAGCCCAAAGGTAAAGGATAGCATTGAATAAAATATGTAGTGTTGGGCAATTTTTCAACAAACCTTTGGCATAGAAGGATTGTGATGAGAGACTGCCAATTTTGCCATCACTCACTGTTATATCCAGTAGGTATTGCATTTTTAATCAGTTTTTTTTTTTTACAAAATGCTATAGGAATCGACTTTATTCACAGAAGTTCCACACGTTTGGATGGAAAAGTCAAAAACAAGTGTTCAGACCTTTAAAATACCTCAGGTTTTTCTTTGTAAATAAAAGCCTAGTGTATTTTATCATTTTATTTTGTCAACAACATAATTTTCAGTAATATAGATACTGAAATTCATTTATTTCATCTTAAAATCATCAAAAGTCATTTAAAAAATATTAACAATAATCTTAAAATTTCCCTATTTTGAGTTGCATTCTTTCATTTAGTCTGCTGCTAATTTATTTTATACAAATGTATGTAAGAAATAATTTTTTTCTGAAAATGTATGAATACTGATAGACTTGACTATTTCTAGATCAGAGGCCCCCAACCTTTTGGGCACCAGGGACCGGTTCTGTGGAGAAAGATTTTTCCACGGACCAGAGGGGGAGTGGTTTCGTGTGCTGCCTGTATCCAGCGGATGGGGCTTCACTTGTTTGTGCGGCCCAGTAGCTGCTATGCCACGGCCTGATTGTACAAAAAAAAAAAAAAAATGCGTGGATTAAACATGCTAGTTACTGAGGAAAAAAATCTGAAAATGAAACATTTTGGTACCTAATAATCATGATTTATGTCATAATGAAGCTAGCATGCAGTAAACTAATCTCAAGCATGGAACAGAATGCAGGGAGCTCAGTGTTCTAGATCTCTTCAGACTTGAATTTGTAACAGCCTGAATATGCATTTGTGCTCAAGGAATTTCCTCATAATTTGAGAAACCTCTATCAGCCTCTAATTAATCTTTTTACTAAACTGCAAAGCTTCCAAAAGCTTTTCTGTAGCAAACTTCCCAACATCACAACTATTCTGCACACACACCAAACAACACACACACATACTCTCACACATTATATTTGGACCCTACGTTAGCTGGTTTGGAATTGTGCTATGGTAGCAGTAATAAGAAGTCCGTTTACAGAAATGATCATCTATAATCGACGTAAGTGTTTAGAAAAAAATACATATGGTGAAATGTTTTGTTTTTTGCAAACCCAAGCACTAAAAAATGCTTTAAGGAAAAGTCAGATTAGATAATTAACTCTTTCCATATGAATGTCTTGGTCTAAGTGCAGCCAAAAAGATTCCTAAATGGGAATGTTTGTAGTGTACATTGAATTTATAATAATTCAGAATCCAGTTTTCCATCAGGCCTTAGGGATGGAAATGCTATGAGCTATTCCATCTCTTTCAATTAGTGGAAGTACACTCCCTCAGGTCCTGCTTTGCTGCATAGGAAGTTCCTGGGTGGGGTGAATGAAGGATGCCATGCTTGTACACCAAGCATAAATTCTCCTAGCAAGGTCATCCTCAGCATGAAGATCATCCCAGCAACCTAACTAAAGCAAACAGGCACCTATATTGGACAGCAGCAATACAGTATAGGAAAATGCCTGAGGTAGATGATCATTTTAGTATCAAGAGCAAAAGCATCAATTCATATTATATTGAGGAAGCAGTAGTAAGCTGTTCCTTTTATTTTTCCAAGTAAGTCAGAAGGGTGGACAAGATAAAGTGATTATTGATTATAGTACCAGAAGATGGGTCTCTCAAGCATGCTACTGAGGAAGAATTGAGAATTTTTCATAGTACTAATGTCTAAAATATGCCAAATTCTTTAGGACATCTAGTTGCTAAGACCCAGTGTGGTGGAGTGGTTAACATGCTGACCTAGAAACCAAGAGACTTTAAATTCTAGTCCTGCATTAGGCTGGGTGACTTTGGGCCAGTTACACATTCTCAGCCCAACCCACCTCACAGAGTTGTTGTGGTGAAATTAAGAGGAAGAAGGAGCATTATGTATGTTCACTGCTTTGAGTTTATAAAGTAATTCAAAGTGATTTCCAACGTTCATCACAAGTATAAACACATGTTCTATTCTCTTCAAGGCAACAGCTAATTATCTCTTCATTCCCGTATCCCTTCCTTTATCTGTAAGCAAATCCATAAAACATCTTTTTAGTCCTGGTGTTAGCAGAAATCCACAAAGGATTGCCAGAAGTAACAACAGGCCTTTTTTAACATTGATAAAATAAACCAACTTAGATTCCTTAGTTTTACCAACAATTTTAATCTTCATTCACGTATTGTCATAGGATTTGATTTCTCTTCCATTTCTTCTTCATCCTTTCACACAGAGTTCTTCTTTAGCCAATATTTTTTTCTAAATTCAATCAGCAAAAATACCTAGGTGACTTTCCAAAAGATTCTAATAGCTTAAAAGTAGTTAATAAGCAATTTCCAAAAGTCACTAGAAAGGAAGAGGCTGAACATGGTTGCAAGCAAAATGGCTATTCCTGCCATTTCCAATACCCACACCTGCAGGAGACCATTGCCCTTTGATCTTCTAGCAAGGAACAGCATATGTGGGCAATCTCCTGTCCTCTCCTTATCTGGAGAGATTCCATGGAACCAGTCTACTTGTTCCTTGTGGTCAGGTCCACTTTTTCAGAGACAACCTCAGTCAAACCTGGACACTGAAGTTATTGAGTTTATACAATACAAATGTTGGGTATACTTTATAAATCAATAAAATCCAAGTTTATAAATTAGTTAATTTAAACATTTGTAGACTTTCTTTACTTTGAAAAATGCTTACACAATCAATAGTGTAAAATGTGTGCGAGGAATTAATGAACAGTAATGTATATTAATATATTATACATAGTATAGTAATACATTAGCATGTTGTTAGAAGCACATAATACTGTAATTATTTATTGTCTGCACAGTTTGCAAATTATATGGTTTTTTACAATGTTTTCTTCATGAAAGTATATGAGTTCAGTTGACATGTTAATAATCCATGAACAGGTTAAATCCTGTAGGAACTTCAGATGTGACGTTTACTCTGTTTTGGGTCTAGAATAAAGTCCATATCATATCACATGTATTCTCATGTTGGGTTAATATTCCTATTTGTATTGTTATAGAATAGAATATCTGTATTGCCATTGTGTAACTCACAATGAAATTAAGTTATTAAAAATTAAAATTATGTGAGGTTTTGTGTGTGTGTGTGTGTGCATGCGTTAATCTAAATAATAAATAGCAGTTGCAGCAGAAATATTTATTAATAAAAGATTTGTTAGTAGAAAGAGTACTATTGACCCCAAAATATATTTCAAATGCTTCAGGCTAGTTCATCTTCTCCAATTTATGTTTAGAGCCTCTATTGGCAAAAAACAGAATTAACATTGCAAAATATATCAAAGATGATTACTGCATTCTCCAGTACAGGAGATGGATAATCCACGGATGGGTTTTCTCTGTCTGCCTGCTCTTGAGACCAAGTAGCCAAAGTTTGACACGCCCCCACTTCCTGTGGAGTCCATTCTTAACTTGGTCTCTGCTCGAGAAGACTTGTTTTGGCGTAGCTCTCAGCTTATCAGGTTAGACAAGAAATCCATTGATTGATTATCCCTTGATAATTGGCTTCCCCTTCCCAAAAAATTGCCACCTATAGGAATTTAACCACAAAATTTTCTGGGGATCAGTCCTGATCTCAAACCTAAAATTAAAAAGGGATTGGTGGGGAGGGAAACTTCCCCACAGATATCAGCCAGCCCCAGGGCTCTGGGGGGTGGAAAGGGGGGGAAGAAGGCATCAGCAGAGACTACTTGCTGAACCTTTTCCCCAACCACTAAGTTTTCCTTGGGATCATCCCTGATCCTATATTAAAATTGAAAAAGGGGGTGTGGGGGGGGGAACTCCCCACGGATCCCAGCCAGCCCCAGGGCTCTGGAGGTGGAAAAGGGGGGGGGGAAGGCATCAGCAGAGACCACTTGCTGAGCTTTTCTCCCCAACCTTCCAAGGGATTTTTTCCTCAAATTGGGGGAAAAAATAACAATCTCCAGGTCCGGATTCAAACTTGAATTCGGATCATCGGAGATTCCCTAGCAGCCCAGGGCAACCGCGGGTGCCATTTTAGTTGCCGTTT